AACTTTCAGTGACTAAAAAATATATCCCATTTTAAGCAACAGCACAGGGTGAAATTTAAACAAACATATCAAACAAGGTATCAAGCCTCAAACAAACAGCAGAAATAGTAACAATTTATGCTTTTTAACTGATACATACAGAAGGAAATTAAGTATTTCATAGTTATAAGTTGTATTTTGGGAAATGTAAACGTCACTAACCATGCATACAAGTTAAGACGATATTTTACAGCTGTTAATTTTCTTCCTTTTTCCTTTTCTTTCCCTTTTTTATTGTTGTTGCATAGGACATTATCACAATATATAATCTATGCGGTACAAAATACATAAAAAGTTACAGCAGAGCAAGAATAGATGAACATATAACTGTACAACTGTAATACTTCAATGTAGTGATTTAAAGAGTTGCAAAGTGACCCAAGGAAGCATTCATGTGCTACTGATAAAACTGTACAGGTTGAAGATGACACGGCAACATCATAGTTCACCAAAGCTGGCAGTATATATGTAAACCCATGCACACTTACTGGCACATATATTCCTGTCACCCACACAGGCATGTGCTTGTGAAGAAGCACGCACACGCATGCACACGCGACCCCAGGATGCATATATACACATAACTGCAGCTGGGACCAGAGATGGAACTCAACCACGAATCTCAAAACACAGGTTCACACTTTCCAAATGCAGTGGCATTTGGATGTAGGATTTTGGTTCAGCCCCATCACTAGTTCTAATGAAACGGATACCTATTTTTGCTCTGTAGACATCCCTTCATTATTTGGTGTGTAGTGTATACACATTGCTGCGTATTTATGTATACACACACATACTGCGCAATATACACATACATACGTATTTTTATATATGTGCATATGCTTATAAATCCACATATATAGATACTTATATTTATATAAAAAAACCCCTATACCAGTGAATAGGCTTTTGCATTTTATATTCTGGCTTATGGGGTAAACAAGTATAATTCTTATTTTCTTCTGCCCAAAGATATAGCTTTATCCCAGAAGAGTTAAACATACAGACGTTCATCATACCATTCACTGACATAGACTATATGTTAGCACCTAATTCACAAATGTATGGTGTGATGGAGTAAAAGAGCACCTGAAAGTCGGTCTGTTGGCATCACCTTATGAAATTAGGAAATTAAATGGCAATGAAAAAGTAAGCTTAAAAGTATGCAGAGTTCATTTTCCTCACTCTTTCTTCACAGACCGTGTTCCCCAAAACAAAAATGCACTTCACACAGTACAGATTCTGCTGGAGAAAAGCAGTTGTGACCGTGAATAGCTAGAAATGGGTAAGCTCCTTACACAGCCTCATACTGCCTGGCTGCATGAACCACGGAAATTGCTGAACAGCTACACAGAAGGTAATGAGGTTTTAAAGGTGTACAGAGGCTCTCACAGCTAAGAGTTATTGCAAGGGTTAGTGCAGTGAAAAGGGTAGCATACGTACATGAGTTAGGTGTTACCATCAGAGACTTCTGATGACTTGCTATAAATACATACCTTTGCAGTTATGTAAACAGATAATATGCCTATATTATAAAAGCAAGGAACAACTAGTTTGTCGATATAAACAATTCTCACAATAAAATCTAGCTGCCAGGAGTTTACCAGGACTGTTTTCTAAGAATCAGGATAAAACCTGAATTTATGTGGCCATTAATGCACTTCAGGCCTTTGCAGAGGATGAGGTTTGTGGAAGGGGTGAATGAGTTTCTAAGAGTGTCTTTAGTTTCATTTGCATTGTGGTAGTGAAGTGATGATTTTGACTTGCACCCATTTTGTATAGCAAGGCAGATAAGCTCAACTTTTAGAGAGGAAGACAGAGACATGGCTGGAGTAACACAAACAAACTTTCAGGGCTTTCTTCATAACAATAAACTTGGCTTTATATTGTGAAGTTAAAAGGAAAATAAAATTAGGGCGATTTCATAGTTTGTGGGGATTCACCTTAACAGATTGCATAGGGAAAGGAGGCAGGAGGAGACATGCACACTCTTCCAAATGGAGAGGACTGGGAAGAAATCTGCACCTTGCCAGAGCAGCATTTCCTGAGCGTGCAGTGTTCTGTTGCTATGCCAGGAGACTGTTTGAGCTTACAGTGCTGGGTGAAACAACAAAAGGGTAAAAATCTGAGGTTAGTCTGGATAATCACCCAGATTTCAAAACACCATTTGAGCTGTTCAGACTTCACAGAACGGAGTCTTACCACCTTGCTGGTACTTCTGCTTCTTTCCTACCATCTAGCAGATGCTAGAAAACCCCAAACACTCTTACATATGGAAATATTAAGAGAAGTTTTGTTCGCATTCAGTCTTAGAAACTACTAGTGGTTTGGAATTCATCATTTTATCCTTAAGCTATCACGTATCAAACATGTAATGAAGCTCTAATTTGAAACCCTAGCTAGGATTTTAAAACACAGCAGTGTGACTGTCAGCCCAACACACTCTGAGGTACTTAAAGCTGAGGTGCCAGTAAAAGTTTAACTGACAAATTTCAGCGAATTCCCTGAAAGTGTAGCGATGCTGCTATGCACAGACTCAGCCTTCTCATTGGATGAACTGCCTGAATTGGAAATTTGACTCTGAACCCTTTTTTTTGGTTCAAACTTGAAGAATTAGTAGTAGTATCTATGAGGAATACACATAAAATGCTTAGTCTACCTTTGGAGCTGAAGATTACATAGCTCTTATGTCACTCAAAATAGGTTGTCCATAATCTTTATATCCCATAATCACAGTACTAATAAAACCTGGTGCAAATATTCTTTCTCCAGGCTATTAAAACAACTTGTTTGTAATGCACCTACTGACTCATGCTGAGTTATTATGCCCTCAGTAAATGGATGGGAGTGGTTCCTCCTTTGCTAAAGATTAAATGATGCTCTGGTTGGAAAAGATGATTTTACAACAAACTTAATTTAGAACATGAAGCCTGTGATTTTTGCCGATACTTAGTTCTCCTTTTGATTTTGTTTGTGTTACCCCCATTCTTCTGTTAAGGTAAAATGATAAATATGTTTATGACTTGTTTCAAAGTATGTGCACAAGACACAGCCGACCTGTAGAATTCCTTTAGCTAGATAGCTTAAATGCCTCTTTACTAGCTACAGCACAAGAGCACTTTTAGCAGTCACGGAAATGATTGGAATGTGAATTCCTGTTACCTGAATTGTATCAAGTTGTTAAAATTCTGTTATCTTGGTAGATGACTTATTTTAAAACGGAGAACAAGAAAAGAGGAAATCTATGGAGACAAGCAGATCTGTCCTCCCCTAACTCACAGTGGTCAGGCAGCTCATCACACAAACTCAGCAATATTTGTTATCTTGCAAAAAAACCCTTACAATGTTTTGTGTGAAATGAAACAGCAGAATTATGCCTTACATGATTTCCAATTCAAAAGGAAAACTTGTGGTTTTATAGAGGTGAAATCTGAAGCAAATGAGCATGAAAAACATACTAAAATACCTGCACTTTGAACTGTCTTTAAGTATTTATCCATACAACTAATAGAATGCGTAGTATTAGGAATTATGTAAATATTATAAGTACCTATGAAACTACTTGGAAATCTATATTAGCCTCTCACAGTTAGTATACAGTACAATAAAATCTTGCAAAATTGGATCAATGCAAAGCAGCAAGTAAGATATAGGTTTATTTGGAATCTGGAGGCATTCACTTGATATCAAATGGCAGGTGTGGCATAGAGAGTTTCTTTTCACTATGCTACACTTAACTGCATTTATACCCTTTTATCAGTGACCTTGATTGTGATGCAACAGGACACAGAAACTATGTCTTAACCAATCTGTCTTCCTAAGATACAGCTGTACAGTAGGTAAGTACCTTGATGAAAGTTTTGGTGGGCATAGGTTCAGTTATGCTATTTCCATAGTTCATTAAAAAACCCCAAAAAACCAATAAAGAAGTTAGTGTGGTTTGATTTCTGTCTGCTTTGAATATTCTGTTGGTCCCATACCGAACAGGCAGTGCAGAGAGCTTACAACTTGGAGAGTGTGACAACAGAATGCCTCTGAGATTCCATGCCACCTTGCAATCAAATGTTGCCCAGTGTAAAATGCTTCCTCGTGATTTAGGTTATTTACTTAAGGCATCTAATTTAGATTTTTTTTTTCCCTCGGAATTTTATCTAGCATGAAACAAACAAACAAGTTTATCAACCTCACAGAGATTTTTGCAATAGGAAGTTGGGTTTGGAGCATCTTCAGCATGAAGTGAAAAGATGGCTCACTATCAAAAGCATAGGGCAGCTTGAAGAAAGACAGGACTCCAGTTTGGACACTCCCCAATGTATATAATCACAAAAACAAGCAATGGAAGAGTCTGGTACTACATTCCAGTACTGGTTTGGGGTTTGTACTGTTTGTTTGGTTTTTATTTTTCCCCAGTGTGTGAAAGAACCTAGCAAAAAGCTTCCGAGTGCAAATACATTTACAAAGTAAGGCTGCGGTTAGGGTGTGTCTTCATTGTAAGTATTGTGTAATATAAATATCCATCCCTGAGAAAGGAGAAGGGGGACACAATCCAACACAGTTGATTTGTAAGTGTATGTATGCTCATGTTGTGCAATCAGGTCTTAAAAAACTACTTTGACACCTGAGGTGAATTAAGTGGGGTTTTTTCCTTTTTTTCTTTTTTTCTTTTTTTTTTTTTGTAAGATTTTCTTATAAAGTATAATCAAGAGGATCTGTAAATGGTTGCAAAATGCATGAAATATTGAGACAGCAGGAGTCATTAAGTGTAACATGTAAGTCTGTCCATGAGGTTAGAATTGCCACTTGTGTGGTTGGGTAAAGAAAATTTGACTGGAAATTTAATAGGCAGCTATTAAAACCAAAGGCGGGAGGGGAAGCAACAGAGTTCTTTAAATGTGTGCAACACAAACAAAACTCCACGTTAGGTATTAGAGGCAAAGTGCTGACATCCAGTGCAGGTAGGTCTATGGGGAGCTGGCAGGGCTAATTGTCGGACTTGAGGCATCGGAGCGGCTGTAGTCACTGACAGACCCTGTTCTTGAGCTGCTTCCACTTCTCCTCTTGAGCATGCTTGGGTGGAAGTTGGCGTGGCGGCGGGCGTGCTTCGTCAGGTGGTCGCTGCGCATGAAGCGCTTCTCGCAGAGGGGACAGCTGAACTTCTTCTCTCCAGTGTGGGTGCGGTAGTGGCGGGCCAGCTCATCGGAACGGGCAAACTTCTTGTTACACCCTTGCCAGTTGCATTCGAAAGGCCGTTCACCTGCAGGAAGCAAACATGGCATGATTAGGAGGGGACAGCAGTGTCATCCGTGGGTGGGCTTTGTATGCAAAGTTTAGAATAAAAAGCTTGGGAGCAAGGGAGATGCCACTTGGCGCTTATCGGATAGCAAAGGTGGTACTGTCTGCCAGACGGGTGGCCACCGTGGTAGTCTAATCCATTAAAAAGTACTGTAAATCAAACTACTGATACCTTATTTGATAAGTGGATCTTCAGGGATGCTGGGCTCCTGATCATGGATGTTGCATTTCTTATCTCTCGTAGTCTGTTGGACTTCCAGACTTTAAGAACATCTGCACTGAGCTCTATGGAATATTCACTTATTCCTGGGTGACGGCATTGTTTTTTGGTAAGACAATGACCTTCAGATGTTTCTATTGCCCAAGTTAATCTTCTCTGTGTATGTTTTCATTACAAATAGGGTCAGCAATGTCCTTCACTAGAAGGACTGCCCCATGAAATGACTGCTTTCACAAGGAAGGCAAGAGTTAAAATGCAGTGTTTTGCTTCTGCTGTTGACAACACCATTGAAGCACAAAGAAAATGGTACCTTTTCTTCTGACTAGTTAGCATGGCATCAGCTACCTTTTTCTATATCTCACATTGGTAGCCTGCAGTAGGCATGACAGTCCAGTTCCTAAGGAGAGAAGAGGTTCTGGTGCAGGATTGTGTAAGATCTGTGTTATCCAGCATTAACAGTAAGGTGAGGAAGGTATTGCACAACTTATCTCCTCCCTCTCCTCACCACACATCAGATCTGGATGAGAACAGTCAGATTCCTATTCATCTGCCTGATTTGATGTGTTGATGATGGGGGTGATGATTTGGGTGCTGGGCCAAAGAAATTGTGGACTTTCTTCCACTATTTCTCTGCTGTTCCCTTTTCTCTTCCTTCCTAGGAACTACTTTTTTCCCCTCAGTCCTCTCTAGTTTTGATTTGATATCTTCTTGGTAGTCATCTCTTAGCTTGTTGGTCAAATGATTTCCCCCTCCATGCACTGTCTGAAAGCTGGCATCACACTGGTGGTGGTAATAAGGTCTGTCTCTAGAGTACCTCTCAGCTTTGTTGAGGTTTAGCAATACCTCCTCAAAGACAAGCTCTATTGTGAGGAAATGCGGGATGCCTTGTGTAAAGATATGAGACTCATGATTATGCATAAAAAATTAGGACACAGTCTGGAACAAAGTTGCTGCGGGGTATTAATTAAGACAAGACATAGCTGCTGCTCCAAAACCACATGTGGAAATTCAGCCTGTCATCAGCCTCATCTCTCAACCAGAAGGGATGTGGTTTTCTGTGCAGGTAAGTTATATAAATGTTCTTTTACGGGCACTAAAGCAATCAACAGAATGAGAGATTATGTGAAATGATTGCCTAATCTCATTAGGGAACATGCAGCCACAGTTTGCATAAGCAGTAGCCCATGGACATGTACTCAACAAAGAGCTTTCGCCATTTAACATGGCTGTACATAACACAGTAAAGATTTTGAGCTCCATCTTAGGCAAAGCTGAAGTCAGGATTTTACCTTTATACAATAAGGGTAGAATTTGATGCTGTAAATTAATGTGGAAATGTAATCAAACATCTTAAATATAGCAGGAAGTGCGTCAAGCATATGAATGTGTACATTGAGAGTCAATGCTGCGCCTCGGCAGTGGGAGTGGTTTTGTGCGTTATCAGCATTACCAGCAGGTCTCAAAGAGAGGTAAGTCTCCAAAAGACAAAGATAAATAATTAAATCAAAAAGCAGCTCAGTCTTCTTTACTCTTCAGAGAGGCAGGCAAGAGATGCCCTTAAGAGATAAGGAATGTTGCAAATTGTTATTATTTTACAATTTTAAATAGGTTTGGATTTCCATGTTCCAAATCCCACCAAACTGTAACCTTTCTGGCTCCTCTGCCACAGTACGTGACATCACATAACTTGTGTTAATTGTTACACAAGCTGATAGAAAAACATCACATTTGAGAATTAAATTCAACTGATCTTAACTGAAAATTACACAAGCAAGAACGTTTTTGGCTTCTTCCTGAACTCCGCCCGGTCCAAAGAAAAAGATGTGTGTAAAGCTGCATTGAGAAACTTTCAGTGCTCACGGAGTAAAAGTAGATGAGATCTGCAGGTGCACCAACTTTCAAATTCATTTCCATGGCATAGACCTAGCTGCTCATGCTGCTTACATTGTCTACCAGAGCAGACCACCAAAGGAACCAGAGTTGCCTAGGCTATAGAAACAGCATTAAAAAATGCACCTTCCTGGAAAGGATTCAGAAGCAAGCAGAGCCAGTCAGTTATTATGATATTATGTAAAGGTCCTTTGTATTATATATATACTGAGACAACTATATGTAGTTATGGGAAGCAAAAACTACGGAGACGGTGAAACCAGATGGGATGTCTACCGAGCCTCATTTGTACCGTATTTTTGGTGCACTGTTGACTTTACCCCAAATCACACATAGTTTTAAGGACTCCTTTCCTGTATAAGTGACACTCCTGTACAGACCCTGGAGTAATTTGCTTTCTGTTTCACCACTTCATCTGTATGATATCCAGCATTTGAATAGCCATAAAAAAGGATACTAAGTACTGTGTAGGCCTGAGCATGCTTAAAAAATAGCCTGATAATGACTGCAATGCTAAATCAGGTTGAGACACCTGTGATACCAACCGTTTTCAGGATTACAGAGCAAAGATAAGGCAATTGTATCTGAAAAATGTGAAATGTGATATCCACTGCCCTACAGATTAGAGTATTATTAAGTCAAGCCGTGTATTGGGATTTGTTTTCTCTATATAACTCATGTAGTAGCTCTGCACATTATGTTAGCATCTTCAAGCATATGCCAAGTAACAAAGAAGTCTCTGTACTGGGAATTCCTCAAGTGCCTACAAAACCAGAAACAGTAAGCCAGAAGTAATTTTCTGTGATCTTTAATCTGTTCTGCTGCTTCGCAGAACAGCATTGTATGTTGTTACGAAAACAGACTGGAAACCTGAACATGCCACTGTGTGCTATTCTTATGTTTCTCCTTTTTCAGATACATAATTAAGGGTATATTTGGAAGCACAGATCAGCAGACTGGGTGGGGAGGATGAGGGGCAGACATTAAATAGAGATGTGACTGAGGCAGCTTTCCTCCAAGAGAGGAAATGCTATCCTGGGAAAAAACATTCAGCCAAGCAGACTGGGTTTCTCGAGACTGGCTGTTATTTGAAAAAGAGAAAGAGGAAAGGTCATCCTTCAGTACCACTGATACGTATGCACAAATGTTTTCACTTCTGTTATTCTCTTGTTTATAAACAAGCCCTTCTGCATAGCCAGAAACCAAGCTCCTAAACTTCTGAGTGCAAAAGAGAAAATAGCGTGTAGCTTTGACGATCGATGAATAATGGTTTATCAAGTATTTAAAAAGGGATCAAAAAATTCCAAAGCCTCGTAATTCCAAATTCCTATAAATGGAAACCAGTTAGTTTCAAATTAATGATTTTGGGGCTGACTTTTCATAACCAAGGAAGCCTAATACAAGCATGTTTTTTGCAACACCTCTTGAATGCCCCAGTAACTGTCACCCATACCTAACACAGGTAGTGAATTCAGCAACATTAAGCTTGACTAGTTCCAGGAAAATGAGGAAGTTTTAGTAAAGTTCTCAGTGAAAAGAAGAGTTATAGGGTATATTGGACTGCCACTAAACACCAGAAACTCAATAATGGGAATGTGGTAGGAATGTCCAAATCCAAGAAAAGCTTCAATGTTCACACGTTACTAGATGCTGGGACCTAACACACCCCGAGCCCCTTGGACAGGCAGCACCGAGGAACAAGGTTGCATTAGTACCTGCTGACAGAAGCATGTGTGTTCCTGCTATTTTCATTATCTGTGATGGGACTTTTTTTTTAGGAGCTGGAGTTCTCCGTTTCCAGCAGGCACAGACGTAGGCACCAAGTACAAACCCACTTTAAAGTGTGGGTATCTTTATTTAAATCTTAACAACTCCAGTCATTGAACTGATAAATGATTGGATCTTATGTTTTCTGTGTGCCCAGAAAACTACTACTGCGTAGGAGCTGCAACAGCTACCATAATATCCGTTCTTTAAACCCTGGGTTTATTTTCTGTACCTTAACATTTTCACTGAGTTAGTTAGACATACAGGAATATTTCTTGAAAGGGAAATTTCAAGCGGCAAGTTTACATTTTAAATGAGTATTTGTTGCTGTTTGCTTTGGAAGTGCTTGTGTTGCTCCATCTGGGAGCACAGATTACACCATATGACCTCCCTGTATAACCACAGCTAACTAGAACACCTCAAACAGCAAATGATAAACACACCTCCACATACCAGAATGATAACGGCTCCAATACCAAAGACACGTCAGTTGTGCAAAATTCATCCCCTATCCTTACCTACACCCAGGTCCACCCAAGCACCAAAATAACTGATGTGGTATGTCCCATGCAGCTACCTGATCCTTCCGAAAAATATCACTGATCACTTCCACCATAATGGAAACAATCTTTCGGGGGGTTTTGTTTGTATTGAACAGATTACATTCTATCGGTTCTGTTCTAGGCCTTTACTTCAAAGTTGTTCAGTAATGTCTTAAATGTCAGTTTATAATAATTTTAGCTACTTTACTGTATTTTTATCAGCCACATTTGCTTCTGTCAAGGCAGAATCATTCTAGCTTTTTAGGCTTTTTTCTTTTTTTCCAGGATGCTCCAGCACATAATCTTTCTATTGTCTAAAATATGCATTCCATGGCTTCAGTGAATCCCCTTTCAAACTGGGATGCCCAAGCTGAACTGCTCTATCTGGGTGAGTTTCTATAGCTTAGCACTTCTAAAACACCCATGTGTTTTATCCGACATTTTTGCACAGTGAATTAAGAATCTGAAATTTGAACTGCAGAATTATTCAGCAAACCAAGAAGCCCATAGTAATTTAATTTTTGGTTGAATAAAATTATTTAC